AGATGTTCACCGTGGGATGCCTTCTGGCACGAAGTGATGAACATTTGCCTCCAGATGTCAAGAAAATACTTTTCTCTAGCCAAGCACTTTTAGATATTTGAGACCTATCTCATGCCTGATCTTATAGCCAAAATTCTATAAAAATTGATACAAGTTTCAGCTCAAATAAAGGAAACATGGTGAAGCACTATCTTATCTTTAAATAATAATAGCCTGGTTTTTCTGGTAAACTGCTTTATATTTGAGACAAGCAAACAAAAATTCTGCTATCAAGCATGCCAAAATATGCCTCTATCATAAGTGAATTATCAATGTTTCTATACACATGATATATATGAATGGAAAGATAGTCGGGGGTGGAGATGATTAAACTGGAATGTTTTAAAAACAGTTATGTGTTTATCTGAATGTACTGGGATATTGAATGTTTCTTCTACCTAGTGTTGTAAAGCGGACATAAATGTATGATAGAAATGAATATTAGGTATTATAGATAACAGACAGCATGTAACTCCACCTTCAGCCAGTACTTGATTGGACATGCTAAAAGAGAAACTAGAATTTGCCAGAAAGAAACACAGGCTGTTGGCTTTGAATGCAGTAGCCCTGTGTAGAGTACTGGGGCCTTTGGTCGAAAACATGAGCCCCACCCAGGAATTTTGCATTTAAAAAGATATGCAGATGTATCCAGAACTGCGGAGAAAACAGAAAATATGCATTTGAAGGAAGGACCTGCATAATAAAAAGATGATTTTTTTTTTAATCTAGTTTGTGATTTCCCCTCTCCCCCTCCCCTCCCTCATAGCCTTCAAAGATTGTTTTTTTCTGTGTGTAAATCTTTTCTTGAGTTTTTATAATGTGGTTTCATACAATATTTGTCATTTTGTGATCAACTTATTTCACTCAACATAATGCTTTGCTTTTTGAATTACAAGCAAGTAAACAACTGCTTCTGGGTGCATTAAGGTAGGAAAAGTCAGTGCCCATCAGAAGGAACCCCCATTCTAGGACTGGAAGTTAAAAGGAGCCAGCGAGTAGATAGCCCGGTATACTACCCGGTGGTGACCACCTGGGTCCACTCATGAGTGGAAGTAGGGGAGGTCCAGCAATGAAGAGATGGGCTGAGTTTGCACATGTTCCATTAGCACCTGCTGACCTAGCCCATGGAGGCTAGGGATGAGAGAGACACACACAGAAAGGGCTGGCTAGTCTGAAGTGCAGGGAGTTGTGTGGACTCCTGAGCCTATGGGTGGTGTCTGTTGGCCTAGATAAGAGAGAGAGGGAAGGGGCTGGCTGGTCTGAAGTGCAGGGAGGTGTGTGTGAACACCTGAGTTTACAGCTAGTACCCACTGACCTAGCCCACAGGGGCTAGGGATGAACTGACGAGAACCTGACTGAATGAAGAGAAAGCTGTTTGACAATGTGAGCTGGTGACACCATGAGCTGGTATAGATTGCTGAAATATGATGGCTTGCTCTGGACTGGACCTTCCTTATGGATGCAGATGCTTCAAGACCAAGGAACATGCTTGTCTCCTCAGAGTACTGGTTTGACAGAGACGGGTAATTTAAACACTGGCTATCTAAAATGGAGGAAGATAAAGGCATGAAGTGGCTGGCTTACATGCAACCATGAGTATGCTTACATTAAATGAGAGAGACAAGGGAGGATTCCCATTTGAATAGATTCCTCTTTTCCTGATGGGTCTGGGGAAGAGAGGATGGGGGTAGATGCTTATAAGATTACATGATTCAGTTGTGAGTGCTGATTGTTGACAGGAATAATTGTGATTGTAAAAACTGTAATTGTAGAAGCTGTAAGTGTGAAAGAGGGGACTAAGGGGGAGGCGCTGCTGGGCTGGAGTAAAGTGGCTGAACCTAAAGTTCCTTAAAGGTTTTGCTATGCTGATACCTCATGAGGCTCAGAGCAAGGGAATAATCTTCTCTCAGTTAAATTTTATCAGACACCAGAAAGGGTGAAGATGAGATGAACTTTTGGAGAACCTGACTAGATCAGATGGACACCTGCAGCTGACCTGAATAGCTGGTACCTGAGTAACCTCTCCCTGAGGACTCTTTGCTCTACTGAAAGACTAATTGCTAATGGCTGTTTTGAACTTGAGAGATACTTAAGCAGACATCTTAGTGATTGATTGGATATAGGAGAAAGAGGAGAGTTGGATTTCTGACTTAGGCAAATGTATGGAGGTATGGCAATTACTGAGACAGAGGGGAGGAAAAGAGGCAGGTTGCTGGGGTTTCTGTTTTGATTTTTTGTTTTGTTGATATTTTGGAAAGAGCTAGGAAGATGTTAGAGATTATGAATTCCATTTTTGACAAGCTGAGTATAGATCTCTGATAATGACATACATGTCAGAGACTAATAAGAAAGATCTAAGCTTAGACACATAGTCAACAGCATTATCTATCAGTTGAAGCCATGAGATAAACAGAGAAGAGGGCCAACATCAGGAACCTAAGAAACCTCAAAATTTGAGATGAGCTGATTAAGAGTACTGTAAATTAAGAAAAATATGAAGACACAACCAAAGAAGTGGGAAGAAAACCAGGAAAGCATATAATCACTAAAGTCAAGAGAAGAGAGTATTTTAGGAGGGAGCAAACAATCAACAAAGTCTGATTGGTTGACTTTGTTGTAAGGGAGCAAGTCTGCAACAAATGCGGTAGGGAGTCTACACTGGGGCAACCTTTCTGGAGAACAATTTGATGTACTTGTTAAAAGGTCTGATCCTCAATTCCACTTCTCAGTTTTAATCAAGAAAAATGCCAGCATGTGTGTTCAATGAGACATATTAAAGAACAGTTTGTAAAAGTAAAAAAAATAAAATAAAAATAAGGAAATAATGTAAATATCCAAAATAAAGGATTGGTTAAATAGAATATCATAAACTGATCCTATTGAATATTTCACAGAAGTTAAAGAGAACAAAGTATATCTACATAGAAAAAACTAAGGAACATTAAATACAAAAAATAGCTAGCTACATAACAATATAGACATAATGATAACGGTTTTTGTTTTTTAGTGTATTTTTCTATTAGATGTAAGAAAAAGTATAGAAAAAGTTTAGAAGATTAGGCACTATACTTAAATCCAATAGTTCATTCTGTAGAGAAAGCTGGTATTTGGGTACTTGGTTAAGGTAGCCTTTGCTTCATCTGTATTACTTGATTTTTTTTTACAATGAAAAGGTTTCCATGCATTACTTGTATAATTAAAAACACACTTTTAAAATGTTGTGAAGAGATCAAGTAAATTAAAATTTAAAAAATCCATATTTAGCAAATAATGAATCTTTAGTAACCACAATAGGAATAGTTTGAGGAAACTAAAGGGAACAAAAGAGAGATTAACATGAATTGAGGCAAAATAGGAGGAAAAACAATAGACAGAGTATAATAAAATAATAGAGGGCATGGTAGTGAACAGGGATAAAAAAAAAAGTGAAGGAAGGATTTGCATCAAAGAGAGAAGAAAAATGATACTTTCAGGAAACCTAGTTGTTTACCACAGCTTAAAAAAAAATATAGAGGTTTCATTGCTAATAAGCATCAACAAATTTGGAATCTGTTCAAAGGTATAAGATGTAAAATGCATAGACTCAGAGTAGCAGGAATCATTAACTAAGAAGCCAGACAAAGAGGGTTTAGATGAGGAAAAAAAGTGAGAGCAGGATCTATGCAACATCTCCAAGTTAGTAAACCAGGCAGTAGACAGAAAGGAGGGTACAGAATTATCACAACATCTTAGAATTATAGTATATGAAAGGCTGTCATTGAAAGCAAAACTAAGACAGCATACAAACAAATGAGAAATGTCAGATGAGAAATGCTTAGAAGAACCTTCTGGGAGGTACTATCAAGAATTACCATAATGAGCTGATATATAATCTGGTACAAGAACAAGACTACATACTGGTGTTGGTCTTAACATTTAGGTAATGTTACATATTCACTGCTGTGTATCAATCAGAAGCTGGAAGTAAAGCACATTGTCAAAAGTGCATACAAACTGTCACTCACTCTCATTCCATATGTTAGACACAATGAGTGATAAGGAATCATTTCACTATATTTTAAATATTCTAGAGAATTTTTGTACAGTATTATTTGGGAGTTGAGTATAAGTAGAAATCTCTTTTGGAACCAGGACAAGGATCCTCCAAATATCTCTGTTCTGAAGGAAACCAAATATTTTTTGGTGATCAGGCCTTTCTGGAAAATTCTTGGAGAGGAGGTAAGTGCTAATAACTTGCTACAACTTCTAGGGAGCCGACTCATGAAGAACAATGTGTCATTTACCAAAAAGTGCATCCTGGTCCAAAGCAACTCTCACAGCGGTGCTGCTGAGATTCTGGTAGAATAAGGAATAGGGTAATGAAACCTCATCTTGGGATGGTCTCCATGGGCAAACAACTTGGAACCACAGTAGAATCAGTGCTCTTTAAAAGACAATACACACTGAATATACTAAAAGCCACTGAATTGTACTTTTAAAGGGTGAGTTTTATGGTATATGAATTATATTTCAATAAAGCATTAAAAAAGAAAAAAGACAACGTACAGCAATACTACATTTCCTGGGTGGGGAAGGGCACATTACAATATGAGAGCTGAAAAGAAAGAGGATGGGGATATCCTAGGTACAGCCTTTGTAGGAATAATCTCTGACACCAAAACAGAAAGCTCTCAATTTGGGGACTCCCCTGCGTCATGTTTTGTCACGCCTATTTAAATCAGCAGTTATTGTTAGTTGCGGGTTAGTCAATTCTGAATCATGGCAACACCGTGTAAGCAGAGTAGAATTGTTGCATAGGGTTTTCAAGGCTCTGATCTTTTGGAAGCCAATCGCCAGGCTTGTCTTCCGAGGTTCCTCTAGGTGGGTTCAAATAGCCAACCTTTCGGCAAGTAGTAGAATACTTCAATGCTTGCACCACCCAGGGACTAAAATAAACTTTTGGATTAAGTAACAGTTCTCACCTTAAGAGTTCTATCTGCAGAAGAGGCAACTTCCTCCTTTGGCTTATTCTACAGGCTGCCTTCTGAGAATCAGAAGAGAACAACCAACTTCGATCGTTTGAGCATGGAGCATCAACTAACACCTAGAGAAAAAAAAACAAATCATGTAAATATGCACTGAAAATATAGTCTGAGGCCAAAAGTATATAGGGAATGATGTAAAACATGAAAAATAAACAGCACATAAATGAAATCATTTCTTCTAAAACCAAATATACAAAATACACCATGGTAAGTTCTTTATGACATTTCCTTACTAATATTTTTCAGAAAAACGTCCTGTGTACTTTCAGTGTTTGTTTTGTTTGTTTTCGGGGTGGGGGGGGTGTCTAAAAGTCTGCTAATGATATTTTATCTTCTTGATGACTACAGCAAAACTTTTACAAAAGTTACTCATTTTAAGCAGACACTACTGTATTTCTGAATTCTCAGCATTTATTTTTAAGAATTATTTTGATTTTGGTTTCCTGAAATGCCCTCTTTTCCTTCAAATGCCATGCTCTGATATGAAATATTACTGAATTAAAGCAATACACTGTACATGTTTGTGCACTGACCCAAATAATATCTGATCTTTTCCTGAGTATCTCTGAGGTGCCAGGAAATATAACACATTCTATAATCCCCAATCGCAACGTTACGGCTTCCTTTGAACCACGCGAACTACCAAATGAAAACTGCTTCCATGTTCATTTTACCAAAATGTCCCAGGGTACCGAGGAACTGTATCAGGCTACGTCTGCCAGCTGACGGACGACGACAAAGCCGCATAACAACGGCAGTATCATTGGGAGTCCATCAGTCTGTCACAATGTAATAAAAGTACCTTGTCAAATATTTCAGGCTGGGCATCTCCCATTTCTCTGCCATCCAATTCAGATACTTTAATTACATTTACCACAGGCTGTGGGATGAAAGACTCCAGCGTCTGCCTGAGCCACCTTGATCTCAGACTATCGGATTCATTACAATGAAGATAACCTAAATATAAAGGATAAATATGCTTTAGAATGAAGGCACTGTAATGGTTACATTTCCATTTTTCACCAAATACATTTCAGAAAGAAGTCAACTCATTGTAATTATGCAGAAATAAAGCTCAGAAGTAAACATTATCTTATGCTTTAAAACCAGAAATGAATATATATATATATATATACTAAATAAAACACAATAGTTACACCTACATAGCCTCTCAGAAGCTGTCAGAGCTGTCAATCAAGTTTAATTTAGGGGGTAAAAGTCTATAGGGAGTTATGGATTCCTAAATTTGTGCTATACCAATACCTCAGACACAGCTCTCCCCTTAAAGCCCTGGCTGCTAGGAGTTGTGGTTGTTGCTGTTATTGTGTGCCATCGAGTCAATTCTGACTCATGGCAACACTGGCTGTGACATAGTAGAACTTCCCCATAGGATTTCCAAGTCGATAATCATTACATGAACAAATCTCCAGGTCTTTCTTCCGAGGAGCAGCTGGGTGGGTTAAAACCACCAACCTTTCAGTTAGCAGCCAAGTGCTTGCTTAACTGTTACGCCAGCTGCTGAGAGTAAATGATATATTCTATTATACACATGAAGCTCCTATAAGGGAAAAAAACTTCATTTTAAATGAAGGAAAGGTAGTGTGATTTGTGGAAAATGGCATGTGAAGCGCTATGGACTCTACAGTCAGAAAGACATGGACTCAAATTATGAGCTGGGTGACCTTGGGCAAGTTACTTAGCTCTTCTAGAGTCTCAGTTTTCTTTTCTGTAAAATGAGATTGTACACAGTGCTATGGATTGAACAGTATCCAACCAAAATATATGTTGTAATCCTAATTCCTATACCTGTGGATCTGATCCCTTTTGAGAATAGAGTTTTCTTTGTTATGTTCATGAGGGCATAATGGTGTAGGATGTGTCCTAAATCTAATCACTTCTGAGATTAGACACAGAAGCAGGTGCATACACGTGGATGACACATGCTATCTGATGATAACCAGGCAGATGAATCTACAAGCCTAGGAACTCCAAGAATTGCTGGCTACTAGAAGCTGAAACAGACACAGAAGGACCTTCCACTAGAGTCACACTCTGAATTTAGATTTCTAGCCTCCTGAACGGTGAGAAAATAAATTTGTTCTTTAAGACCACCTCAAAAAAGCCGAACCCATCGCTGTGAAGTCAATTCCAACTCAGAGTGACCCTATGGGACAGAACAGAACTGTCCCACAGGGATTCCAAGGCTGTAGTCTTTACAGAAGCTGACTGTCACATCTTTCTCGGGATGGCTGGTAGGTTCGAACCACTGACCCTTCGGTTAGCAGCCGAGTGCTTAACTACTGCGCCACCAGGGCTCCTTTTTAAGGCTCCCCCCTTCTGGTATTTATGTTACAGCAGCACTAGCAAACTAAGACATCTAGCTACCATACAAACTGGTTGTTAAGATTAAATGTGATAACTTTCATAACTTTATCCTGAATTGTAACCTGTTGCTTCCCTAACAAACTCCATAATCGTGAGTACTGTCTGTGAGTTCTGTATGGTCACTGTAATGAATTAACACAGCAGAGAAGTAAAGAGTGCCATGGAAGGGACAGCAGGTGTCAGAATTGGTAAAAAGTTTGGAGAGAGGGTGCATGTCTGACCTTCACCTCACAGGAATCAGCCTTGGGCTGTTGCTCTTGATTCTTTTTCCCCTTCAAGAGTTAGATGAGGTCAGATGCCTCTATCATGCTATTTTTACACCTAGGCTGCAGTCTTTATGGGAGCAGATTGATAGGTTTTCTCTCCCACGGAGCCACTGGTGGGTTTGAACCACTGAAACTTTTCACGTAGCAGCTGACTGCTCTACCACTGCACTACCAGTGTTCCTTATATCTAATATAGTACTACAATGATAGTCATAATGAATATTTATAATTACTAACAATTCTTAAGTAGTCATGTGCTAGGCATTGTCCTAGGCACTTTACATATACTAACCCATTTAATCCTCACAAATCTATGAGGTAAATCCTGTTATTATTGTTTCTATCTTATAGATGAGGAAACTGAGGCCGACAGAGGTTAAGTAACTTGCTCAGGTTGGCACAGCATATAATCCAGACAGCCTGGTTCCAGAGCCCTACTTACTTTTAAGAATCATGCTATACTGCTTCTCAATATAGAAGGATCAGTAAATAGTTCTTTCCCTATGAAATAGTTGTTTTGTCTTTCCCTTACTTTAAAAAAAAATTAAATACAAATTGTTACCGTTGAATTGTGTCCAACCAAAATGTGTGTCAACTTGGCAAGGCCATGATTCCCAGTACTGTGTGGTTATTCACCATTTTGTGATCTGATGTGATTAGCCTACATGTTGGAAACCTTAACCTCTATGATGTTAATGAGGTAAGATTAGAGGCAGCTATGTTGATGAGGAAGGATACAATCTACAGGATTAGGTTGAGCCCTGGTGGCACAGTGGTTACTAGCTTGGCTGCTAACCAAAAGGTTGGCAGCTTGAATCCACCAGCCACTCCTTAGGTACTCTATGGGGCAGTTCTACTCTGTCCTATAGGGTCGCTATGAGTCGGAATAGACTCGACAGCAATGGGTTTTTTGGTTTAAGTCAATCTCTTTTGAGATATAAAAGGGAGAAGTAAGGAGAGAAGGGAGGGACCTCATACTACCAAAAAAGAAGCTCCGGGAGCAGAGCGCATCCTCTGGGCTTGGGGTCCCTGCGCTGAGAAACTCCTAGATCAGGGAAGATTGACAGCAAGGACCCTCCCCCAGAGCTGACAGAAAGAAAGCCTTCCCCTAGAGCTGGTGCCCTGAATTTGGACTTCTAGCTTCCTAAACTGTGAGAGAATTTCTGTTTGTTAAAGCCATCTACTTGTATTTCTGTTGTTACTAACACTAAATAACTGAGACACAACCTTATTTTTAAAATCACATAAAGAACATTAAAAACTACCTGAATTCCAGTGCCTTCAGATAATCACCATTAACATTTTGATAATGAACCATACCATATCTCTTTAAGCACATACCCACACATAAAATTATAAATAATCATTTAATATTTTTGCTATTGACATTTTTCCCCTTATTCTCAGGGGCAGATTAACCAGCAAGCACAGTATGAACGGGTTTACAGTAAGCAAGGTATGCATAGGCTTAATTGTGTTTACTTACTAATCTGTAGTGCACAATTTCAGCCCATGCATGCCTTGCTTATTGGGTAATCCGTCCCTGCTTATTCTTTATCTACCCCTCCACCAACTGCCCCATCAATGGGAAGCTGTATTATCAACCTGATATATACATAAAAAGGCTTATATAAACATCTACTTACCCAGGATTATATTTATATATTTCTGTACCCTTTACTCTCTACATATACCAATACTTCAAGGATATATCACAAAGACAATTGGTAGAGATATGAATCAGTTTAAAAGGCTGCTAAATAGTTCACAGGAGCCCTGATGTCGCCCTGATGTCGCAATGATTAAGCACTCAGCTGCCAAATCCACCAGGCGCTCTGAGGGAGAAAAGGCCTGAGATCTGCTCCTGTAAAGATTACAGCTTAGAAAACTCTATGGGGCAGTTCTACTCTGTCCTATAGGGTCACTATGAGTCAGAATTGACTCGACAGCACACAACAAATAGTACATGGGGTAGATGTATCAAACTTTATTCAATCATTCCCCTGTTGTTGGGCATTCACATGGTTGTCACTAATAACACTCAATAAATATCTTCATACAGCTGTCCCTGGGTGATGTGTGTTTATTATTATGTGATAGAACTACAGAAATGGATAGGTTTGGGTACAGAAATTTTTAGTTTTAATAAATATTACCTTCTCCACCCACTAAATCCCCACAAAAAGTGTTAGTCTGATATGGAATGTTATAATATTAAGTTTCATTTGCTTGATCTCTAACACAATTGAGCACCTTTTCATTTATCTATTGGCCGTTTGACTTTAATTCTCTGTCAACTGCCTATCCTTATCCTTTGCCCATTTTTTCCACTGTACTATTTAAATTTTTTCTTGTCAACTGGTCTTATTTTAATAGTATAGGCATTAACCCTTTATCTATCATGTTTTGCAAACATGTTTTCTAAATTGTTGTCTGAATTTCTTTGCAGTATCTTTTGTAGAACATAAGTTTCACAATTTTTTATAGTTAATTATGTAAGTTTTTTATAACTTCCGGAATAGTTTTTTGTTATTGTTGTTATGTCTGATTTAAGGTGGTCTTCTGGATCATTAGATTTTCAGGTTTGATGCACTACACACCCACCAGGGGTCTTCTTGGGTTCAACTAAACATTCAGACTCACATAGGCCATATATGGCATCATCTTATGTAGAAAAACATGAATCACAGCTTGCCAGCAGGGTAGGATGAGACACTTCTCTTCAATGGGAGTCCTTGCAGTAGTCCACACAGTGGTAGCTCAAGTGCATGAAGATGAGATTTGTATTGGGCAGGTTCAGGAGTCATCCTGGCTTAAAAGCCTTATGTCCCACATGAGCCAACACTTCTTGTAACCACTCCATAGAATAACTCCCAGGGTCACCACAAGGAACATGCTCAGTTACAAGAATCACTGCACTCAGGGAGGCCCAAAGTGGGGCCTCCCTATCAGGTCTCTAGAGTTTATTTATGCTTTATCATAAGCACTGCTGCCTAAAAACATGGTGTCTGCTGTAACAGAAATATCATAAGTGGATAGCTTTAACAAAGAGAAATTTATTTTCTCACAGTCTAAAAGGCTGGAAGTCCAAATTCAGGGCGACAGCTCTAGGGGAAGCTTTCTCTCTGTCGCCTCTGGAGGAAGTTCCCTCTCATCAACCTTCCCCTGGACTAGGAGCTTCTCTGTGCAGGAACCCCGGGTCCAAAGGACATGCTCTGCTGCTGGTGCTTCTTTCTTGGTGGTATTGAGGTCCCCACTCTCTGCTTGCTTCTCTTTCCTGTTATCTCTTCTAAGATAAAAAGTGGT